TCCCTCCTGGTACACACAAAGGACAGAGTCTGCTGGCAGTATAGAAAAATAAGAAGTGGTGACTATGGAAAACTGGACAGCTCAGGTACATGGCAGTGAAGTCTGAATAGCGGCAGCCTTTTACGTAAACTTGGTGAAACAGGGTGAAACTTTCCCATTAGGCAAGTTCAATCCCATCATCTATCTCCATTCAGGAAGATCAACAAAATTAATCTCATGTGCTGTGAACAGCTCCGTACGTCATTGTGGTGGGGAACCCCCAAGCTTTAAAAGGGTGTGGATGGGCCAGATCTAAGTGTCTCAGGGCATGCGTAGCTCTTAATGTGTTTTTCCTGCGTCTAGGATGTGCTATGCACTAGAGAGACAGAGCTCACCTCGGGAAACGATGTCATCTATGTGCGAAAGATGGAGAAAAAGTAAAAATGATATATGTACAATAATTCCTCTACTGCCCACGTTGACTGCTTTCCTTTCAGGATTCATGTCAGAAGTGGGTTTGAGAAGGAAAAAACCATCATCTGTAAGGAACAGGAGAGAGGTTGCACTGTGTGGAGATGAAGATAAAGCTTGCAGAGAAGAGAGCTGAGGCTGGCACAAGCAGAAGAGCAGAAGCGGAGTGCAAACTGAGTTACCCGTGCAGTTACAGGTCCCTAAAATGATAACATGAGGGTCAATTTTAACGTGGTAGAAAGGGAACAACAAAGATAGGGTACAGAAGGAGGGTGACAAGATAAAAATAGCAGGTAAAATAGCGTTTGAAGAGTATGTCTTTTGGGGAGGCCAGCTGGTTGATGGGTGCAGTCTTCTGGGCTAGGGATATATGAACTCACTCCAAAGCACTGGCTGCTTTACCCAAAGCAAAAAGCTTTCAGATATGGCCTGGACATACGTAAGACAGAGTAGAACCTGGCAGACTTGAACACCCACGATCATGGGAATCCTAATAGCACTGAGACTGGGGCTGAGATGGAGGGAGACAGCAGGGGCTCATTCCAGTAGGATCATGATAAATTTAGGGGTTAGAGAGAATCAGAAACCCAAAGGCAGGATGGTGAATTGGGGTTGTAAACATAGGAGGAAACAATACCCAGAGAAAATACGTAGAAGTGATAAGAGGAGCTGAATAGGCAGGTCAGTATGAGCCCTGTTGTAGAGAGGGGGCAAGAGGGGAGGAAAGACCTTTCAAGAAGTATAGGAAGAAAGGTAGGAAGACAATTGAACAAGGGGAGCATTAGGGAAAATAAGACTTTGAGGAGGAAAGATGTTATAGAGAGGCTAAGGAAGATGGATATAGGCTGAATGTCTTCGATGCTTCATTAAGAGCTTGCAGGGAAGAGCTTGCATTGAAGAGAGTGGTGTGGCTGGGCCTGATCCAGGGTGGGTATGAATGGAGAGTTGCCATGGACAAGAAGTCAAAGTTTAGGAAATATCTACAAACCCTTCGTAAAATCAGCGAATACTTAACAGAGGAAAAAATGAAGTTGCCAAACAACGGTGCCAGACTAGCAAAAGTTTTTATTTCCATGAGACAACAGGTAATTTCTGATCAAGTTAAATTGTTTTAAGTAAACAACCCTTTGAAT